TCCAGAAACTATGAAACAGGGTGTAAGAAAATTCATGATTTGGGACCTCAAAGAAGTAGAGATGACACCGTTACATCCTAGAACTCGTAGTATTGGAAATGTCGTCTTGGAAACATCACACTTGAAGAATATTCTTTCACTCTGCCTTTGAAATCCCTGTTGCCTTCGGCTCTATATAGTTTGTTACTGCTCCCAGAAGCAATTGTTTGTATATCTTGCCATGTTACAATGGCCATGACAAGATGACTAACATATATTTAAGTCTTAAATACAAGTATGTTCCTGAAACGTGAACAATTCTTCATGTACACATTTGAAAATATTCCCTATGGCTATTATCCACACATTAAGTAAAAGGAACACAAATCCATCTAAGCAGATGCGAAGCTGGTTGCGTGGTCAATAAAACAATCTCATCTGTGATAGCTTGTCATTCTGCGCTCCCAGCTGGTGTGCCTCCTTCAGATTCAGGGAATAAAGAGCCTTCACCGCATAACTCAGCATTTTGTCAATGTCCTGACATTTCCAATATGAAATCTTCATCAGGGATCGACTTGCCAATGTTAACAAATGACTACATGTGGGTCATCCATGTCTTTTCAAATAGATCGTTTCATTATTCAATAGAATGTCCTATCTATAGTTTGAAAAAATAGTCTGAAAACGTCTCCGCCTTACAAATGAAGTATAAGCATTGCAGCAGGGTTCTAGGAGATTCCTAGGATGTGTTTATCTGACCTGGTAAGTAATTATAGACTTTAGTGCATTAACCAGCATGTTAAGCCAATAAATAAGATAAGGTTATTTTTCTCTGTGACAAATCCCGGAAGAATGAGATTCCTTTTGATTTATCTCTTCTGTGGATTTCCACTTACTTACTGTATCACATATGAGAAGAAATTGAAGTGAGTTGTCAAAACCACTCTTTTTAGTAATTTATTAATTTTGTTTCCATCATCATCTTCATAGTAATATAATTTTATTTCTTAGTGATTTTCCAGAAACCAGAAAGAGTTCAATACAATAAAAAACAAGTAGTATGCATAGCAAAACTAAGAAATCTGAGAAAAAAGAAAAGCTTATGAAATAAACCCCATTTATAAATAAAAATAAACCAAGATTCAAACTGAATTGCACTTTAAATCCCATAGTGAACAGATCTTTAAGCAGACATTTAGCAAGTAAAAGTAAGCAGCACACATGGTAGTACAAACCAAAGGCTATGTCACCATTTGTGAAAAACCTAGTCTTCAGCGGAGTGAGAAGACTCTATCACACTGTGTGGCGCCTGGTCTTCAGCAGAGTGAGAAGACTCTGTCACACTGTGTGGAGCCTGGTCTTCAGCA